GCTGGAGATGGTAAACGATTCCGCTATTGTTCATCATTCCAAAGCTTTGCATTGTTTATCACTCCAAAGCTTGACCTGAATCCTTCTCCACAGGTCATATTATCAAGCGTGGAGGGATCTTTCATCAGAACAAGCCACAGATCTGGATAAGATCAATGAACTCCATGCGTGCCAACACCTTTTGCTGATATTCTCTGATATGCTTGGAGAAACGCCATGGGAATCTCAACAGATGTTGCCTCGTAAAAGTTTTGACATGTCACATGTATTCGAATGGGAAAGAAGTTTAGTTGAGACCTAGACACTAGTCATTGTATTGCAGGATTGTATCATCCAGATCAAACAATTTTGTTATATCAATGACATGAGTTATTGATTCATTCACGTGAAACAAAGTTGATTTTTGTTGTATCAATGAGAAATGTTATATGAGTCAGAGTCCACATAAATCAGGGTATCTCGCCGCAGCCAAATTTCCGACCTAGATTACTTTCGGGAAATTTCTCCGCAAAAGAGACAGACCATGGAAGATATGTCTGTGATTTATATATACAAAAATATACAGAATCTTACCAAAGGTTTTTTTTTGTCTATTTAAAGACACTGACCTTTTTAATTTAATTCGTGCATATAACACTAAGTCATTCCTAACAAACAGACAATACAATTGATTTTTCGGTTCTAGCAGTTCTTTGGTCTGTGGTATTTTGGAGGCAGAGACGGGCAGTGCTCGTTCATATGCGGGTATGGCTCCATTGTGTTGTAACCGGGAAGTTCCATCCTGTATTTCCCAAGTATTTGACAGTACGGAAGCTTCACATCATCATTGTCATTGCACCATTTGGGAAAACGGCTTGCATTATTCTCGAAAAACTTGAGCATGTAAGCATCTTTGATCTGTAAAAAGTAATTTTACTGGTCAGTGTGTGTATGTGTTTTGTATGGGTGTATATCTTCTTGGGTGTGTACAGGTTGGTTCTCACCGTGAATTCCGTGACTTGAATGGAACTAGAGATTGGATCGAAAAGCCCAGCTTCTTTGTACATTTCGAGGATAAAAGCGATACAAGAAGTTGATTTCCCATCACTATATATCCAATCATCTTGTTCCGGAACTGCCAGCAACTCATCAAAAGAGGATCCACGCTTTTCGACTTCCACCAGTACATCAGGAAGATCAAGACCCTGCCATTTTGGCAAATCTCAGCAAAAGAACTAAAGAGAAGAAATCAATGACCAATTTACTGACGGAAAAGAGAGAAAAAAAACAATAGAAAGCATATGGTACCGTGTGCCAAGAGCCAATGCTACTCTAAAAGCTTCTACTTATTTTAATCCATAGAACTCGAAAGATAAGAGTAAAATGTTTGATCAAGCATTATGAAAAAGTGAAATGAATGAACAAAATGCTAATACCTCTGTTCCGAGTCGCTTGTTAAGGGCTTCATTCCACATGTTAGCAGCATAATCAGGCTGGATTTTGCTCCAAACTGTCATAACAGAAGCAACCTGGAAAAAAACAATCACAACGTCACCCATAACCTAACTGATAGAAGCTGTTTAAAGAAAGAAGAAGAAAGAGATTCATCAATGCCAAAATTCTGAGAAATGAAAACCTACAAGGTGAGCATCCAGAGGAGGTGGGTAATTTCCGCTGATGGTATCGATCCAGCTAAAGATCAAGTTGTGATAGCCATATGGTTTGCCATCCATGCTACGAGCATATTCCCATGCAGCTGTAACATTAAACTTGGCTCGATAATCAGGATGCAACGGTAGCAATGCAATGTGGGGATTTGAGTCATCCTTGGTTTGTTCAAACTCCCACCACTCTTCCCATGGCAATATCGCTATTACATCTTCTCCCTATGACCCAAAGGTTCAAAGGAGAAGACAGCAAAAAAAACCATGAGATGCATAAAAAATAGGAAGGAAAATGCAGTTTCATTAAAAGAATCAGTTTCCACAAGACTGGCTTGGAAAGAAGTCACTGGTTTTATATGAACATGTCATATCAAGTTCCGAGAAACTATATAAAATGTTACTAATCAAGCATTTCGATGATGTTCAACAAAATCAGTTTAGTTTGTTCTTAGCAGAGATAATCATCTAATGATACCCAGAACAAGAACTAGTACTCAATGGCTATACCATCATTAATAGAACCCACGTATAATTTAAAACTAATTCATCCAGAAATTTAAGTTTTACCTTTTCATTTTCATTCCCGGATTCACCAACCCAGAGTTTCCCTTCAGAATCCCTCAAACAGACAGCAGTGTGACCAGCATAGGCTCCACTTACCCACTTCTCAAGGGTCTCAAAACCACCCCACCGCCCACGGATTTTGGAGATAGCTAGTAAGTCTCCAGAGTGAATTTCATCGGTAGTAATATTTGTAACCCAAGGTTTAGGACGAGCATAGAAATTAGCACCCATATGATTCTTAAGAAACGCGATATTAGAGTTCTCCCCCCAACCGGTATTGGTAAATAGAGGGAAGACATCCCACAGCGCTCGAAGAGTTCCCAACATCCCTGCTTCCATGAGGAATATTGAAACTCCTTTCTGCTTAACCTGATCAAACGTGAGCCAGAAAGGCAAAAAAAAAAAAATCCATTAGCTATATTAACAGAAAAATGAAAAAAAAAAAGATAACAACGGAAGAAGAGCAGCTTACATATTCATACTCGGCTTTACCCTCCCACTCCTTGAATTCCATAGTGTGCTCCCTCGAAACAAAGTACCAATCCCATGTCACACGATATGGAGTGACAAAGACATAAATATCCATGCAAGTCCAACTATGTGCCTTATCGACCTGCACAAAACACGTAATAACTGGATCAATTTAGGATTCATCATTCGAAAAACAGCTTCCCAGGATCATATAGAAAAGGTAGTAACTAACAATGGAATAATCTAAAATCTGTGAGCTTCCATAGAAACATCCAAGGTAAAGAGTAAATGTAACTCTTAAGCCTATAATTTTCAAATGTTCTCCGAAATTTTTCAGGAGCTCAGAAGTCTAATATCTAAAATCTAACAGCGTGAGAACATAAACAAACCCATGAACAAAAACCTCAAACGTATTCGCTCAAAATCAAACCCAGAACATGAAAAGCAAAGATTTTAGAGCTCCAATTCATCATTTCGTAACCTTAATGTGAAGTGTGCCGCCGCCGAATTCGGAACCGGACTTGTTATTGAGCTCTAACCAAGCTTTGTTCTCATAAAAGCAAGCACCTTTCCACTCCACGGCGTCGTTTTTAACAGAAGCGGAGCCGATGAAAGTAGGGAGGAGATCGACGGCTGTGTTGAGAGAATTAAGAACCGGCCACGAGACTTGCCTGGGCAAAAGCGGAAGCAGGTCCCGAGGGTGAAATGGTAATTTCACGGATGAAATAGAGAGAAGCAGCAGTAAGGTAGTGGTGAAGAAGACGCACGGAGACGATGAAGCAGCCATTGTTAACGCCCTTGAGTCGGTTACTGTCTCGTTTCCGTGTCGAATTCGCAAGTCTCGATTTTGCGATCGTCCATGAGTTTCTTTTCTTAACGTATTTTATTTATTTATTTTGTCTACTTTCCAGATTCATGTAACGATGTGAAGTCAAGTTATTTTAAATCTCCACATCATACCATTTTTGTTGGTCAAACGTTCTAACATATTCCAGTTTCGCATATAAAATTTTGAATAAGACAAACACAATCCGAATATACCAATCTGAATCGAATTCGAAACTAAACCAGAATAACTGATTTTGAGAAACCGAACTAAAATTATTTTTTGGGTTGGGGGGCTAACAGAACATTTTTGAAATGTTGGGTTTTAGTTTGTAACTTTTAGAAACTAAGAATCCAAATTTCAAATAAGTTTGACAGTTGGTATAACCAACTTGGTAATGTGCTAGCGATCAGAATAGCCCCACGCAACACTAACGTACACCACAACATAACTTATGCGTAATCTCGTCCTCTATCATATCCTGTGGTTATAGCTTCGAGAAAACTAGAAAATTTGAATTCTTTCACCTGCAATCTCTCTCAATGGCTGTATCACTTCAAACCAAGTACCCTCTAAGACCCATCACCAACATCCCAACAAGCTACCGTCCGTCGCTTCTCCGTGTACGTGTCACCTGCTCTGTTACTACCATCAAGCCTCAGCCAAATCGTGAGAAGCTTGTGGTAGAGCAACACATTGTGAAACCTCCTCTGTCCAACAACCACACTCTGCAATCGTCCAAGCCTCAGCCTAACCGTGAGAAGCTTGTGGTTGAGCAACGTCTTGCGAGTCCTCCTCTGTCCAACGACCCAACTTTGAAATCAACATGGACCCACCGGTTATGGGTTGCAGCAGGCTGCACCACTTTGTTTGTCTCTTTAGCTAAATCTGTCATTGGAGGGTTTGATTCTCATCTCTGGCTCGAACCAGCTTTAGCCGGTTGTGCAGGGTACATCTTAGCTGATCTAGGTTCTGGTGTCTACCACTGGGCCATTGATAACTACGGTGATGAGTCAACACCAGTAGTAGGAAGCCAAATCGAAGCATTTCAGGGTCACCACAAGTGGCCTTGGACAATCACCAGACGGCAATTTGCCAACAATCTACACGCTCTGGCTCAAGTCATAACCTTTACAGTTCTCCCACTAGACCTTGCATTTAACGACCCTGTCTTTCACGGCTTTGTGTGCACATTTGCATTTTGCATAATGTTTAGCCAGCAATTCCATGCTTGGGCACATGGAACCAAGAGCAAGCTTCCACCTCTCGTGGTGGCGTTGCAGGACATGGGGTTGCTTGTTTCACGGAGACAGCACGCAGAACATCATCGAGCACCGTATAACAACAATTACTGCATCGTGAGTGGGGCATGGAACAGTGTTTTGGATGAGAGTAAGGTCTTTGAGGCATTGGAGATGGTGTTTTATTTCCAGCTTGGGGTGAGACCTAGGTCATGGAGTGAACCAAACTCTGACTGGACAGAAGAAACCGAGATCTCCAACGACCAAGCATAAATAATTTTTTTACAAGGTGGTCTATGAAATAAACAATTCTTGATAAATGTACAAGAAAATTTAAGTAATATAATGAAGAGATTTCTTCATAATTTATACAGTATGTAATAAAGTGTGACTGTATTTAATATAAAACAAGTAAAAAAAAACAGAGCATGTACCAGGTTAAGTATCAGATCCGATGGATGAGTAAACAGAAGAAACACAGGGAAACCAGTACCGACACTTTCCGTCTTTATGGCCGTTGTCGATCATCGCAAGGCCCTCCTGAAAATGAATTATAATATTGCAAGGTTTCAGGACTCTCATAGATTGCATTGCATCTATCAGTATAATATAAGTATCAAAGCACATAATCCAATTGGGGAAATGAAATGCAAATGCATACTTCTAACAAAGTTTCGAGAGCATCTATAACCCGACCAGATGTCCATGAGAGGCGTCTTTGTACCTCTTCCACAATCACAAAGCCTTGGCCCTGTGTGGAAAGCAACAGAAATCCTTGAGTCACTTCAGGTAGAACTTCTAAGATATAATGTAAAACATGTAAAAGTTGTTTTCGTTTGGGGAAATATGTATCATTATGATTATAACCTGAGCCAACTCCAAGATCTGGTTATGGTCTTTGTTCAACTCCGTGGGTACTGAACGGACAAGCTTTTTCTTCCCAATTGTGATAACCTCAAATCCACTACCCAGTACCTGAGGAGAAAATCCCAAGATACCAGCAAGAACAGTTCAAATATTTCCAGTTTATCAAAAATCTAAAAGAAAAAGAAAAACACAACTCAGATAGATAGATACCTTTAGCTTGCTAATAGCTCGAAGACAATCATCTTCAGTCACAGCTTCACGATCCTTCTTCCTTCTTTGACGAAGATGGTTGCAGAGCTCTTGCAAGCTGATCAAACCTCCATTGTGTGACCTTGTAAGCATGCAAACCTCAATAATCTGAACTCCTGTTTGATTAATTTAAGAACTTATGAATCATAGCTAACCAAAAAAAAGATAACTACACACATATGCCATTTTCCATACACGAGATTTCTATTTCCCTTATCCAGACATGGACTTATGAATCATAGCTAACCAAAAAGAAGAAGCATCTTCTTCAGTGGCGCTAGAAAGGAGAGGAAACATACCAAGTTCATAGTAGAAGTCACCAATTCCAAGGAGCTCAGCCCAGAAACCCTTGTTGGAAGCAAGAGGATCCACACCAATGTTAGAACACATTTCATGGAATTGAGCCCTGAAGGCTGGATTCTTACGAATGTCATTCTGCAACCAAAGACAAAATTACCACAAATTTTATCAATTCCAACATGAACTACAAGTTCTTAATACGAAATCAAGACGATGACATAACAAGAGCAAATAACGACCTTGTGTTTACGAGCAAACTCTTCAAGCTGGGAACGGAACGTGGCGAGCTGTTCTTTCATCATATCAGTGCGTAACTTGGCTACATTTTCTCCTAGTAACCTGTACTGATCCTGTTTTTGATAGATAGATAAGGAGTTAAAAAGCGCAAAAATCAACTTAGAATCGAGAGAAAAATATGAAATTGGGTTTAGGAGTGAAACCCTAGCAGCTGCGGCCTTTTGCAATCCTCCGATTCCTGGTCGTCGTCGCATCTTTCACTGTTTTCAGATCTTTGAATTTCTCTTCCGGTTGGGGGAACATAATGTTCGAGAAAAGAATTGGAATTTGAGAATACGAAATATATTTATAGTTTTTACTTTCAAGGTAATCAAAACATCAGAGTGGCGCAGCGGAAGCGTGGTGGGCCCATAACCCACAGGTCCCAGGATCGAAACCTGGTTCTGATATATCCGAATCTTTTATTTTCTTTTTTTTTTTTTTGACATTTCTTCATCATTGTCCTTCTATTTTATTCTCACTGTTAAACGCAGCTTGAACTATCATAATTACTGTTTCTCTAGATCATCTTTTTTAAACGAAATTTTGAAAAGAATGCATATATGCTTTTGCAAAAACAAATTTCTAAACTTTAAACTATAAAACAAATGCATAACCACGAGAGAGAAAGAGAAAGAGGGAAAAATCAGATGAACTGAATTTTGCATTTTGATGAAACTCTGGGGAGAGCCATTACATTAGCTACCAAGTAGTTACTCTTTTTGCTGTCCTCTTTAACGCCAACTTTCACAGTTTCAAGACATCTCAACTTCCCCAAGAAATGCCTCATCTGTTTCAGCTCTCTAAAACTTCCTCCGTACCCAAGAATCTCAAGCACCTTCACTCGACACCTCGACAAACAGGATACTATCTCCCTGTCCTTCATACGGATGCAAGCGCACGCGTCTCCACAACAATCTGTAACTCTGTGCACAAGACCCTGAAACCACACCACCATTTGACATGTACAATGACAGCAAAGAAAAGAATTATGTGTGTTTTCTTCAAAAGATGATAATACCTTGATGACTAAAGTTTGTAGATTTGGGGACTTGTTGAGCAGGCTTGGCATTACTTCCCAGCCTTTTTCCTTGTCACTTTCGATAGCTAAATTAACGAGATCTTCCAACACCGGCATGAAATCCGAATCACAACAAAAGTAAAACACCTGATATATATATATATATATATAAGCCATATTACTAATAAGTTATAGACCTTGCTAGCTAGCACTAGACTGGCTCTCTCCTGCATGTGAGGGCTCAAGAGAAGAAGTAGCAAAACTGACCTCTAGAGAATTAGGAGACAAGTGAAGGCTCTTAATGGTTCTGATCCCCTCAATCAGATTCGTAACATTGCCAAAAACTTCTTCATTCCACAATGAACCATCATCATCATAGATGATTGACTCATATAATCGAAGATCCAGTCTAGCTTCGACTAGCGAATCCAAAACAACATAATAATCTCCCGCGACATAACTCGAGTAGTCAAGGTACATAAGACTCGGTGTCTTAATCCTAATGCTAGGAAGTTGGTAAACATTATCATCAAAATCACTAGTGATGGTAACTCGCTTGACATTTGGACTTGACAAGTATTGCATCCAAACGCATAGGAATAATTCCTCAAGCGCAGGGCATCCATGGATGAAGAATTCAAGCATGTCACGACTTGCAAACGAAACTTCAACGAGAGTAAGTGTTTTGAGCGCAGGGAAAAACACACCCCCAAAAGGAAGATGGCCTTCAGGATAAAATCCATCGGAAATGGTGAGTTTAACCAGTGTGTTGCTAGTGAAATACTGAGAATCTATACATAGATAATTGGCTGCCTCTAATTTTAGCTCCAAGCAGCCACGTTCTAGAGCGGTGCGAATCCAACTGTTGATACGAGCTTCATCATTTTCATAAAAGCATTTCAGAGAGAATTTCTTGATAAGCGGAGCATTGTTTAACAGAGCAAGCGTTTTGTCCACGAAATGAGAGAAGCGATGACGTCGACGTAGACCACTCTCGTCACTAGATGCTTCGTCTTCTCCGTCTTTGTTGTCGGGATAAAAAAGCATGGATTCATCAAAATCGAGGCTATCTACAAGAGGAAGCAGATTCCTCCACCTCTTGGACAGAACCGACGTTGCAGCAGCAAGCTTTGTCGGAACTAAAGACAGGATTTTGCCAAGAACATCATCGGGTAGACTGCTGATCAGATCTGTATCCATAGAGACAGACTAATAAAGTCTTTTCTTCTTATGACCTGCAAAAGAAATAGAAAATTTTCAAAACCAAATCACTAAAAAACTATTTTAAGGGTTTTAAATTCCAAGCAAGTGTTGAGTATTTTAACTTTTTTTCCTGTTATGTCAGAATCTCTCAAGGTAACTCTTTAGACAGGGTTATCAACAAACTTGAAGCCTTTGTCTCTGTCTTTTCATCACTTGTCGTCTTGCACTAATCAACAAAATCTCGAAAACGTTACCAACTCAAGAAAATTGAGAAATGTTAAAAAAAAAAGCTGTAATTGACATGTATAGGAATCTCACCTAAAAGAATCAGAGATCCGAGCAGAATCAAAAGGAATAAGCTCAAACTTGGTTACCCAGAAATTGAGAGCAAGAACACGACAACAAAAAAACAATTGGTTTAAACCGAATCTAGAGTCTGCTCGAAGAACTCTTACCGAATTGAAGAAAGAGAAGGATGTCGATGATGATGCCAGTCCAGATCCGGGGCAACAAGATTCTGATTATACCCCAAGATGGATCTTAGCACACAATCGAATTGAAAGAAGAAGGAATTGACCAAAGAGTTTAGAGGAAGAAGAGGAATAAAGTTTCATTCCATTGATCAATTCTTTCGATGGGTTTGTTAACAAAGAAAGAGAACCAGAGACGATTTTTTTTTGGTAGTAGGAGTCTAAGAAACGACGTTGCAGAATGTAAATAACAGAAGCTTTATAAACAAGTTTGGGCTTCCTAAGGCCCAACAATGCCCAAATTTCAAGTATTTGGATTCGCCCGGAAAAGGGTTCGTGTGTCATTGTGGGAATGACTTCATTTTGTAGCAAAAGAACCGCAGGTTCTCTTCTTCTTCCTCGACAAGTTTCAGCTCTCTGATTCTCTCAGAGCTTTCTTCGTCCCCTGCAATGCCTCACAGATTCCGGAGATTCTCTCTTCAATGTCATCTGCACTACCAATCTCAACATCAATCGGACGGTCGGAAATCAGTGAAACTGTATTAGTGTTCTTAATTTGTTCCTTGTTGCAGTTTCTTAATTCTAATGGATTTGTTTTGGTAGAGTTCTTTGCACCATGGTTAACTAGTGACTGCTAATCACTTGTTTGGACATCAGGGCTAACTTTAACTATAAACATTGTTTCACACACAAACACCACCTATGCATAACTTCATCGCATCTAGATCATGCTTATCTTAAAACGTAAGGAAATAGACGGGGATGAAAGGTATAAAGAAGAGATGCAGATAACAGAAAGTCTAGTTATAACTATACATTAGCTAATGTATTCAAATTCTAATAATAACTATACATTAGCTGAGAAATACACAACTCATATACCTCTAGCTTCCTAATAGCTCCAAGACAATTATCTTCAGTCACACCTTCACGATCTTCTAATCGCACCCGTTCATCAGAGGCACGATGATTGATTTTGTCTGTAGAGATTATACGTTTGTCCATAGTACAAAAACTACAATTTCTGTCTTGAAGAAATAACAACTTTACCAATAGAGAATACAAAGAATGAAATTAAAACTCTTTGTAACTAAACTTAACCTCATCTCTAAAACTTTATTTGAATTTGAAAAATCCACCGGTAGCCCCAAAAGGAACCATCTTTAAAAAGAATTTTGCAAAAAAGTTTCGGGAAAAGCCGTAAGAAAAAGAGTTGCAGGAATTGGTGAGTTAATAACAGAGCATTGTGTTGTTACCTGTCGGAGAAGAGAATCCCTGCGTTTGTGAGAAGAGAATTCCTTTTTCTACATTTAAAATGGTGATGTTGAATTATATGAATCACAAAGGTATGGATTGCCGATCAGGCCAAGACTCTCGATCTTCTGGAAGTAATCGACGGATACTACACCATCAATGCCTTCAGTCAAAATCACTTTGTTGTCTGAAATTTAGAACGCAATCCCATCTTCAAGATCTTTCTTGATGTCGAGGAAGATTATAAAATTTACATTCCTTCTCATGCCACTAATCACTTCACCATCTGTTCGTAAGCCACAAGAGAAGTGAACATGCATTCTACTCATGCGCTTTAAGCCCGATGCTAAGATGGATTCCAAATTCTTCCTTTAAGTTCCATGTACACACAGTGGAGCTTCTTCTGGTGACAGTATTGGTTTAAGTAACTTTTCTGACTCAGCCGGTAAGCGTCAATGAAGAGCTCTCCATTCTCATTTATGAGACTAAACCGCTGTTTATTATCCCTTCTCACAGCCTCTCTAATTTCATCATTTTTCTTATTTATTTTACAAACGGGTTGGAGTTTAGAAATTTTGTTTGCCAAAGCCATATATGCATATTTGTCTACACAACAAAACAGAGTGAGATGGAAAAAATTTGGAAAACTGAAACCATTTGATCAAGATCCCAATTCCCAAGTTGATTAAAGCGTCAAAACATCATTATGTTCAAAGCGTTCCAAATGAAATGAATAATGGGCTGGCCTAAAAAAAAAATAACCACAATCTGGTCTCTAAACAAAAAAAATTGCAGTAACCAACGTGAAACACCCTGATTGGTTTTACTACTCCTACTATTTATGGTTCTGCCTACACCTACAGTTTATATTCACTTACACCGACATTGATTCATGCCCTCTTGAGTTCATGCAAAGCTGTCTCGAACTCATTGGCTTTTGCCCTCCAATCATCTAAGTCTGCAGCCTCATTCTGATCAAACCACGCAACTGCATCTGCTGAGAGTGCTTGAATTTTGTACCTCACTTCTATTTCCAAATCTTCAGTGAGCGCCTCCGACCCTAGTTTCACAATATAGTCCCTTATTTCCTTAAACATCTCGACTCCAGACTTAGACTCTGCAGAGTTTTTGGACCCCTCAGTGATCTTCAAAGAGCCCCATCGCTTGCCAGACATCAAGGCAATTCGCTCTTTACGTTTCCTTTTACCAATGTTCAGTAAAGAAGAAACAAAACTATCAAACATAACCTGTAATCCACTGCCCTCCTTTGCTGCTGCAGTTCGCGTAAGAGTTGATCTGGATGCATTTAGAGTCAGGCAAAACAGGTAGACACCCATGTGGGAGTATCGGAGAAGTCCCCAGTCGCCCTGTTTCACTCGAGCTTTTGAAGATGCAGTGGCAGTGAGGGAGTGTCTGACAACAGACACTTCAGCTGTATCAACCATTATATCAAAGTATTCCTTCATTTTCCAGGAAAATGAAGTCTCACCCATTGTAGGGTATATCTTTTTGGGAGGGTCTTTACAGAAGAACGCCCAGCTCCTACATGCTTCGCCAGGGAGAGGCTGCAGGTGGAATTCAGGGCCGAGCTCCCATGGGAGAACAGCGAAGATACTTCAGGAGATGTTGGAACTCCTACACCTGTTCCACCCCTTGTTCTGTGCAGCAATGCAGTACATAGGCTCACGTCCACAGTCTTCAAACCATCGAAGAAAATGCACGCACCGGACATGGCATCCATTTGAGTAGCCATGATCTCATGACTCTCGCAACAGTATCTTTTTTCTGAAGTGGGCACCGGCAATGAGCATCCGAACAATGCACATCCGTAACGCAGCGGCATGCGCAATGGATATCGTGTGCTGAGAAAGGGAACTGTGATAAAACAAGAAGAAAAAGAAGAAGAAGAAAGTAAACTTGTTAGCATGTACTTGACAATTCTATTAAAGAATGACAGAGAGAGTTTGTACCAAAAGAAGGATCACAAAGCAAGCAAGCAACAGTCTAAGCCAATACTAGAAAAACATATACTCAAAACACCAATCTACAAGAACCCGGAAACCCTAGCAATACAAGAACCAACCACACGAACTAGTTGGAATCATCCGTCTATTACAAAATCAATCGATTTCAAAAAAGATTAGCGAACTAACCATGCGAGCTACTTGGAGTCATGGCACTATCACGGGTCAAGGACGGACCAGCACGAAAGAAGAAATCACCGGAACTTGAGACGTTTTCCGATAAACCTTTTCCTTTATCAACTCCCATAATAGCTAATCGATTGATTCAGAGTGATCTTTGCTCGATCTTTTCCCCAACTCGAAAACAATTCTAATTCGATTTCACAAAATTGGTGCGAGAGAGAAGAAGAAAAAGAAAAAAGAAAATATGTGGTTATGGGCCCACCAAGCTTCCACAGAGCTATTTTAAATTAATTAATTTTATCTGGCCAAAACTTTATTTAATAAATCTTTATAAACATTAGGGATTTGTTAATGATATTTTTTAAAGTAATTCATATATAAATAAACTAAAATTACTAAGAAACATACGGTGGAAACTTGTTTGTTCTTATTTCCCACTTTCCCTCATCTTATTTAATTATTTGTTCTTCAAAGTTCTGGTTTTTTCAATTAAGGAAAAGGAAGAATAACAAAATATTGTTAAACTCAAATACAAAGCAATATTTGATCAATTCCAGTCATCTTTTAGGGGATTTTAATAAGAAAAATCAAACTCTAGATGTCGAATCATGTCTGTACTAAAATTATAAACAACAACAGTACTCAAGTTAAAGCTCTGATCACAAGCTCATGTTTACTTGTCAAACTGTTGGAGATCGATTTCCCAAACTGATGCCAACTGCACCACGAGCTGTTCCGGCGCAGGACCTTCCCAGTCTTCAGGTGGATCCATCGTCGAACACGCGTCTTGTAAGTTGTACAAGATCTCTGTCTTCAGTTCCACTGGAACTCCAAACGTGTCTGCACCGTCTTGTAAAACCAGTTCCAACAGCTGCAAATGGCAAAAAAAAAAAAAAAGAGAGAGAAAGAGAGGTTAAAGACGAAACATAGGTATGATGCTTTGGAACCCAACCAATGTACTTAAGAGATGTACCTGTTGACTCCAAGATAAGCAAATGTCGTAGAGATTATGATCCAGTAAAAACTGAGCGATGAAGTTTAAAGCTTCATTTGCAATCTCATTTGACATCTGGTCAAGAGAAGGTCCCGTCCTGTCCATCAGCTTGATGATCAAGTGCTGGTCACCGGCACAGAGGACTTCTGCGTAAGCAGCATCAATGTCACCAACCCGGAGTGAGTGCATTGCATTACTCCATGAAGCCCATATCGGGTCACGTTCCTGCCCTTCGTTTTCATCATCTCCCATGGCTTCAGCTTCAGGGGCAACAGCCACTCGGGTCGGACGAGGGACTGCACCATCCTCGCCGGCTACTCTAATAGCTTCAAGTGTAGCTTCATCCTTTGATGCTTGCCACACACTTCTTGCTGAAGGGCCTTCACCAAATCTAATAGTTCCAGATGCTTTATTATCCCACCCTCTCCTGCCATTACCCATGTGCTCATTCTCATATTGTTCTGACCGAGGTGATCTTCTTGGCCCGGCTTGTCCGTTTCTGGAAGCAGCATGTGGAGGTATGAACCAGTCATCCGCCATGTCCGAATTCCACATTCTTCCCCTCATAGCTCCATCTGGTTGTGAGCCTCTGTCCCCTGGAGCTCTACCATTATACTTTCCAGTTGGATAGTTAGCAAAGCTATTATATTTGCCAAATCCAGCTGTGAGATTACCCCTACGACCAGATGATATCGAAAGATCTCTTGCCATGTCTTCAACAATCCTTTCTAAACCTCTTACCCTGCCCTCCAAGGTCACCATACTGTCATGTGAGCCACCAATAAACTCTTGGAGCATGTTCATAAGATTTGTCTGTTGTCTCTCTAGCTGCAACAACTGCCTCTGGATGGCTGACCAATTTCCTCTATTACTTGTGAAGGATCCTTCAGATTGGTTATCAGTATTGGAGACAGGAGCGTGATTTCCAGGTGCCTCTTTTCCGTTTACAACACCAGCCTTATCATCAACAGATGTCCCTGCCTGTGATCCGTTCCCATCAAACCTACCTTTTACCTGTTTATCATCTGCTTGGGTGTTCTTGAAGTGATTGGAAGATCCCATGGCATTGAGATCATCGAGTCCTGATTCTTCCTCATAATTGTTTTTACATCTACGAGGGACTACTACTTCCACGGATTGCCTTCTTTCTAGTCTCTGGAAAAATTCAGGATTAAAATCTTTGTCACTTAGGACAGGAGCTTTCTTCTTCAACAGTCCTACTGCTTTTTCAGGAAGACATCCTTTTCCTTTAAAAGCAGAGTCTGGTGAAAGTGTGGAACCATCGGATGCCTCATTTTTCATTAGATCAGCTAGATTAGACCTTTTCTCTGCGTTCTTCTCTGATCCAAGCTGCTCACCAGATGAAAGCTTTGACTCATCTGTAGCACCATCGACATATTTTCCAGAAATCTTCTTCCATAACTGCAGCGCCTCTGTCACACTTTCCCTGACAGGTTTAATCTGTCCAAGAAAATTCCATCATTAAACTGTCTTGAGAAGATCATTAAATATCCTAAGTAATAGAATTTTGATGAATGTGTAGCTATCCATCATAGTTTATAATAATATCCACCATTTCACAAAACATCCACCCATTTCAACGCTCAGTAGTGAAAGAAAATTATAGATGACTGAAAATCCTTGAGATATGTAAATCCTATAGTAAACAATCAAAAGGGAAGGCTTCGTGGGAATTTCAAGCTACTTGCTTGTGCGTTTCATCTGCATAGCAAATGAGGAGAAAGTCCCAAAAGTACTATAACCACTAACAAATATGTCTGATGACATTCACACGGAATTGAAGAGCTTATGAGGTTTAAGTTTACTTCACAACAGGACGACTTTAGATTACTTGAAAAATGTTGCTACCTTGTAAAATAAAATGTGTCTCAAACACAGTAATAGTAGAATTTTATTAATTAGAGAAAGAGAAGATAGCTACCTTGTCAAACCGCCAGGTCTCAAGCACGGTAATAGTGGAATCGGTTTTTTCCTTAATTAAACCGCTTGAATGTGATGCCAATGCAGTCAGGGTCTCAGCCGCAGCCTTTCGTGTTACCCAATCTGTACTTCCAAGGCAATCATGGATACTTTCTAGCAATGACTCCAGGCTCTGAGGTGCAATGGCTCCCACCTGAATCAAATTTATTACTCTTTACTTCTCTTTTTCATAGACAACTTAAACCAATGAACCTACTAGCATTGAACTACCAAAAGTAAAGAGGGAGCGATGCTAAACCCATCACTGAAACTTGTAAGCTCAAATCAAAACACTAAACTTCAGCAACAACTAAAAGAAAAAGTGTCGGATTAAGACTAAACCTCAAGTAGTGAGGTCAGGTGTTATAGACTAAAACTTTGTGTTCTACTTACTCACACTAATATCAAAACGCAACATATTCTTCCATCCAACACAACAAACATAGTGCGCACTGTCTATAACCTGAAAAGGAGATTAAAATGATTATGCGCAAACCTGAGAGAGACTTGAAACAACTGGCAAAAGAGAAGCCTTAGCAAGGAAACTAGAATTGCTCAATAGCTTGCAAATTTTAGGGCAAAGCTTTTGAAAAGAAGTAATTGGAGGACTAGCTGCTGATTCAACCATCCTAGCCATACACATTGCAGCTCCAGATTGTACCACTTTGTTCTGCTCTCCCATTGCCTCAAACAACGGCTTAACGAACAAACCCACCGCTAATGAGGCTGAACCAGTATTAGTCCCCTCTTCTTTTCCCTTGAGATAAATCCCAGACAAAGCACCAATCGTATCTCTACAAGCATCCCTAACTCCAGAATCAGAATCCTTCAACCGTTTAACTATCTGAGCGATGATTTTAGTGAGATGCGCAGCCGTCGAATCGCAATGGAGACTACAAACGCAAGAGAGAAGATGGAGACACTCCTTCTTCACTGCAGGTTTCGGATCGGAGCACGAATCGTAGAGACAATTGAGAAACATCGGTAGGGTTTCGGGAGTGAGAGATTGAATAGTTTTCTCAAGATCTTCGACGGCGATCTGGTATGTATCTCGATCGGCGAGCTTAGAGATTGAGGTAAGGATCTTTTGCTTCAGCTCCACCATTGCTTGGAATGAAGTGAGGGAACCGGAATTGGAAGATGACCTAGTTGCTAAACTCGACGACCTTGCTGGTCTCGTCGGTTTCGCCGCCGAACCGGAAGTTGTAGGTGTGCTCATTCCGAAATCTCCGACGAGAGATGAGATTAATCGGAGAAGAAGATAGACGAATTGGAGAAGATAGACGAGATCTGTCACTCGAAAGTGTAACAGTTAAGACTGGAATAATAAAGAAATGTGTCGCTCAATTTTATCAGTATTAACTTTTTCAAGTTTTTTCAAATTCTTAACATAAAATAATTAATATATTTTCAGTATCTGGTTTTTCCCATTGGTCGCGGAAAATCGGGTGTGAAAGACAAAAGTATGAAAAAATAGTTTAAACTAATAATCGCGGCGAAAAAATGTAATAATATGAGGATTCTTGTGTGATTGCTTGATTTTTTAATCTTCTGCTACGAGATTTCGTGTAATATATAAACATACATGCAAATAAGTTAGAACATTTTCACATTTAGAGACAACACGTTCTACAATATGAATTGTGAATTTGTTATTTCAAAATTTTAATTAAAACCTCAAAATAAGTAAAGAATTTGTTATTCAAAATGTCAAGTTGGTTTCTTGTGTTGACGTAACTGTATATAAAAAAAAACATGGCTTAATTAATAATATACGTGTAGTTTACTGAATGGTTTAAGGAATTTTACATGGTACAACATTTACAACAGTACTTTAATGATTAATGAATGCTTATAAGGAATTGTAATTGCTCTTAGCTGTTGGTGTCTTTAAGATCAACAGTCCGGAGTTAGAGTCGAGGAATGGACTTGTGAACAAAAAAAAAAGAGTCGAGCAATGGACATTTTGATAGAAAAGATTAGACTTTTCTGAGCTCAATCCAACCGAGTGAGAGACTTCTCAGTGAGTGTTAACTTTGAAAACTCATGTCCGCGTGCTTATAGGATTCATGTAGCTTCAACGACTCGAAGGTCGTCGTCTGTTGTTTAATGCACGTGAGTCAATCATAAATGGATGAGAGGCTGATGGTTCATCGGACCAACAGGGGTCATGCAAAATCAAAAGTCAAGTTCTTGACTTGTCTTGAGACGGTGAGTTCGATGAGAGACAAAACCTTACCGGTTTTGAGAATTTTTTAGTTCGAATATTTACATCGATGGATGTCATT